CATTGTTTTCTGGGTTCTCTTTTATTCCCTAACCTTCCAACTCCACTAAGTGATAGAGATGACTCCAGTGCCTTCTTAAGTCCAAGATTTTTTTAATGAGTATTTTCTGCCCCTGGGGCAGGTGACGTTAGGCAAGAATCTGGGGGGCAGTGGGAAGGGTTCAAGCCTGGATATGTGTGAGCTCAATAGGGACCAGTGGAAGATTAAATGAATTCACATTGATGCTAAAAGTTCCAGCCAGTAAGCTATAGAACTTGGGACCTGCATGGTGAGGAAAGTGGCTTCATGAAATAGCTTCATTTTGTGTCTGTCCATGTAGCTGTTCACCATATTTTCTGCCTCCTACACATGACAGTCTACCAAGGTTCTATGGCTTTAGTAGCTTATATTGTCTCCTATAAATCAGTCTGGACTACTGGTAGCTCCTTGAGATAGACATCTATTGTATACACAGTGGTATTAAGATGGAGGTGGGGTTGGGGAGGACAGGAAAAGTAAGTACAAAGAAATGGCATTCAGTTTGGAGGTATTGATAATGTTATTTATAGCAGAATGATGCTGAGTAGGAAGGTTGACCAGTCATCCCGGTGGTAGGATATGTAGTATCCCAGTAGTTATTGGTTCACATTTCTGTTGGGCTTTAAGTTTACAAAGTGCTTTCTCCAACACAACCCTGTGAGGTAGATTGTTTATTGTACACTGGGAATACGAAGCAAGAGGTAAGATGTCTTGTACTGGATTAGTGTCAGAGTTGCGATTTCAAACCAGGTCTGCTGATTACATCTCCAGCCCTCTTCTTACTTCACCAAGTAGCAGACATATATCCATCTGGGTCATATGTAGTGGATTAAGTCAAATAGCAGAAATAATACTCCAGTTTCCAATTGCCTCTTCTAACTGGCTAATAAGACAAGTGGTAACTAGGTGAACATAAAACCAGAGAGGTGCTCAAAAACTTGTCACATCTTGGAGCCCCGATCTGGAGGGACGTTTTAAAGGAGACAATGGAGAGGAAGATCTCTTGAGAGAAAAACTCATGCAGTGGCCGGTACGGAGGCAGTGAAGAAACTGATTTGGGGGTAAAATAGGTCATCCTTGTGAGTGTGTCTACTGCTTTGCGGACTGTGGAAACAGAAACATCAAGGAGTCAGTAAGAAGTAGAGAAAGGCTGTGCTTCTCTCTACGACATTATAGGCCTCACATGACTGCACGTAGCAGCCAACATTATGTTGGAGGTTCAGCCTCAAAAACTCGTTAATGTTTGTACTGTGTTGAATAACTTCATGTACCCCACCACTGGGCCTTCAAGTGTGACCATAACAATGCCCTTTGTATTTTCCCAGGCTGAATATACAGTTTTTGTGACAAGTGAAACCACTTACCCTTCCTTTCCCATCCTTTTCCCATGAGTGGTAATCACTATGGCATATGTGTGCATGCATGCGCATATAAGCACATATATGCACATGCATTCCAGATTTGCTGCTTATTATTTAAATATAAAGTCTTTTTTTTCACTTGACCAGCACAAGATGTGGAAGGTATAGCTAGCCATAATTTGTCTGAAAAATATCTGGGGGTTTTAGTGAACTATAAGCTTGTTATGAGTTAAGAATGTGATATCAGAAAAAAAATAATGCTAATGTAACTTTAAGTTGTAACGTAGAAGCATAGTGTTCAGAATGAGGGAAGTGATAGTCCCTCTGTCTTTTACCCTGGTAACACCACCTCTGGAATATTGTGTTCAGTTCTGGGCATCACCTTTTAAGGAGCCTGGGAGGTAAACTGGAGTAGTGTCCTGAGAAGGACAGCCTCAGGTTTTATGTAGGAACTTGGAATTTAGCTTGGAGAAGAGACTTGGTAACTTCAAGGGACATGATAACTGTATTCAGGTATTTGAAGGATTGTTGTGTTTTACATGGTCCCAGCAGGTAAGTGATGAGTAGGCTTTGTGCAGAGACAAGTTTAAGCTTTTTTGTGAGGATTTCTCTCCCCCTCCTCCTCCCCCACCTACCATCCCTTAGCTATCCCAAAGTGCAGTGGCCTGCTTTAAGAGAGGGCAGGTACCTGCTTTCCAGAGGTCTTCAAGTATGACCATTTTTTGGAAGTGTAGAATGTATTCTCGTTCAGATAGAGGCTGACTAGATGATTTCAAGATCCCTTCTGATTCCAAGATTCTTTGATTCTGGATGCTTCTCTGCCTCTGACTTAATTTCTAAGCATGCCAGAGATATTGATTCTTGTGATCTGACAAGATGGTGATGGAATTCCTGACTGCCTCCAGGCTATGGCTAAAATGTTCCTTCTTCACAGTGGTTGAGTCTTGTACCATCATCTGGAACTTAAACCCAGAGTACAGCAAGGATAATATTTTGAGCTGGTATATTATAGAATGGCACCTACTACCATGTCTATGACAAGAGTGCTTGGCTTATTATGTGTTCATGTGTGTCTGCGAAGTAGGAAAGCACAGGGAGTATTTGGAGAATGACAGTTCCCCAGTTTGGATTTGAGCTGGGCTTTGAGTAAAAGCTGAAATGAGACACATACAGAAGAGGAGAGGAAAGCGTCCTAGGCAGGAGGTGGGCAAAGGTACAGAGGGGACATGGGACATTGAGTCAGGAAAAGGGAAGGATTAGGAAGTAGATGGGCTGGGGGAGGGATAGGAGAGTTGTTTCCAAGTATTTGAAGCTGTCTTGTTGAAGAGGGAACTGACTTTTTCTGCCTAGTTCCATAGGACAGAAAGGGAATTGGTGGAGAGGCAAATTTAGGTTTGACATAGGAAGAACTTCCTGACAATTAGAGCTAGACAGCAGTGAGATGGATTGCCTTGGGAGATGGTGGGTTCCCTCCCACTGGACATATTTGAGTAATGTCTAAATGACCACTTGCCAGATATATTATACAGAAAGGATCCTTGTTCAGGTATAAGTTTAATTAAATGAACTTTGGGCTCCCTTCCAACTCTCAGAGTCTTGTGATAATGTGAAATGTGACATTTTTAGAGAATAATGAACAATACCAGCTTGAGTAGATCAGAATTTTTTAAAAATTAACTTTATTTTTTATTCTAAGTTTACATTCCTATTAATAATAAATAACAATGCTTTAAGGATTGTTCTGTAATGACATAGATGTCTCATAAGAGACCTGTGGGAGTAGATGCTCTTATTATCCTAATTTTATAGATAAGGCACTTGAAGCCAAAGGAAGTGAAATCTTTATAGTAACAGGAGAGTAGGGAGTAAGTTTGGATATTGTAATTGGGTCACTATTGTGGAGGGCCTTGAATGCTAGGATAAGTAGTAGTAGTGGTGGTGATGATGGTGAAGCCTGAGAACCCTCACAAGATAAATGATAATAATTTAATAATGTAAATAATAATTTACATTACTGTATAAATGAAGATGAGTTTGACTAGAATGTAGTATTGTGAAGGGGTTAGAGTAAAATGAATTAAGACTGGAAAAGTAGATTCAAGTTAGGTTGTGGAATGCCAGTGTAAGGAATTTACATTTTATCTTTCAAGGTTTAAACAATAGAGAGACCCTGAAAGTTTTTGACCATTGAGTAACATCAGACCTGTGTTAATAGACTCTTAGGAGACTGGGAATGAATAGGCGCCCTTGGTGCAGTAAGTAGGAGGGAAGCTGTGGTGTCTTCTCAGGTACTCAGTACACACTTCATGCCTGTGTTAATTTGCACTTGTTTGTTCCAGGCCAGGGTCAAGACTGGTCACCTCTAAGAGATAAGAGAACCTGAGGCCGAGGCCAGCAAACCAATTAATGTTAGCAGTGGGTGGAGGGGATAGTCACGTGTCTGAGCCAGAACCAGTACTAAAGGTGAAAACAGGTAGCAAGCACAGATCTGGCGAATTAGAAGACAAGATAAAATCATAATCCAAAACCAGTTCTAAATCAGAATGAGCTAAATATGAAAGAGCAATGCGGTAGGAGGCACAGTGATGTAGATGGCCTGCTTATAGAAAATTTTTCTGAGCAGTTGGCCTGGCCCTCAGACAGGAGGCAGGTGGGTAAGCAGAAGGGAGGGCGCCTCTCCTGGCTACTGAGCTTCTGCTGCCAGTGGGGTGAGGTCAGGCATCACGTCCAAGACGGAAATAGATCGTGCATTTAGGCATGTGCTCTCCCATCCTTTTCATAGTCTTATGTCTGCTTCGCCCCCATTAAATGACAATATGCTCATCAAGGGAAGGTCTGTATCTTCTATTGATTATGTTGCTGACCACAGAGCTTCGTTTTAGATCTCTGCTTGGTTTGGGGATGGTAAGTCATAACTACTGACTTATCTTAATCAGCCATGAGAGCAGCATGTCCCTTACAGGCTAAACACTGGGAAACACTAACTTCTAAGCTGTTTAAGGTTTAAGTGTGTTCCTGTTCTCTGGTTAATTCTGCCCTTCAAGATTCCTCTCTTGGCTTCAGAATATATTTTCCTAATTGCTTATAGGATTTCTCAGAAATAACAGTTCAGCTTCTTGGCGTTGTGGTTGATTTCTATCCAAATCCATCTTAAAAGTTGGTGTTGGTTTTCCTTCAAGACACTCAAAGGATTAGAGCCTCATTAAAGCTTCTCTGAGCCCACTATTAGTTAAAAATAGATTCAGCAGCTAATAACTAAACCCTAAGAGTGACGTCTGCTGCTAGTAAATGACTGTACAGGGTCAGGGACAGGAACAATCTCGTTAAATAGTTGAAGGATGCAGCCACCTTTTAATTATTGCATTTTATTTTCTTGTGTGGTCCAGTCATAAAAATGAGCGTTTTGTTTCAAATCTCCTATTATTTAAATGCACTGTGGCAAAGCTTTTATAGCCTTAAAAATTGGTAATATATTACCTCTTAAAGGATTGAGTAAATGTTTTCTGGAGCATTTTTTATATTATCAGAGACTACGAAATATTTTAAAAAATGTCTTCCACATGTGATTTTTGATTGCTTGGATAACGAAGACCTTTCTTGTGTTTTTCAGGGAGAAATTGGAGGAAATGGAGGCACCTTACAGGAAAAATTACCAAAGAGGTAAACCAAAATTTTAGTTAGCTACTCACTTGTGAATTTAAAAAGTAAACTAGACTTACACAGAGCTGTCCTTAAGCATTTTTGTCTCTTAAGTCAGTGTAAACTTTGACCAGGCCATGCAGCACAATAGAACAAGCACTTGACTAGGAATGAAAAGGACTGAGCCGTGGTCCCAGCTCTGCTGTCAGTTAGCCGTATGGTCTTAGACTTTCATTTCATCCCTCTGGGCCTCAGTTTCCTCATCTTTAAAATGAAAGAGTCTGTATAGATGATCATTTATGTCTCTTCTAAACTCCAGAATTTTATTATGCTTAGTCTTTTGCATATAAACTTTAAGAGAGATTAGAATCCGTTGATTTTTTTTAATCTTAAAGTCATACTGGCTAAACAGTTGTCCTAGCATTATCAAAAAAAATTTTAATTGTTATTTTAGAATGGGCTTCTTTTAAATACATAAAGAGGTGGATGATACCTTGTTAATAAAATGATAGGTGGGGATGTAGCTGGGTTATTTTTTGGGGGGGTGGGGGGGAGGCAGTCAGGGTTAAGTGACTTGACCAGGGTCACACAGCTAGTAAGTGTGTAAAGCTGGATTTGAACTTGGATCCTGCTGACTCCGAGGCCAGTGCTCTATCGCTGTACCACCTCAGGATGTGGCCATTCTTGACTGCATAGTTTGTTGCCCAGGTATCTGGGAACAATACAAACATCAAGCAGCATCTCCACATGTCTCTTTTTGGCAGGTCAAGGCAGATGCCAGCCTGTCAGGCAGAAGACTAGGCCCTCAAGAAGCATCCGGTACCACTGTCAGCATAGTACTAGTTGTGATAAGGAAACAGAGTCTGTGCTGTTCTGTGTGTGCACAGGTTGTGGTCTGGATGATGGGAGAAGCCCTGGCAAACAGGGATGGGTGTGATCAAAGTGAGCCTGAAAGTCATGACAAACTCTCCTTACCATAAGTGAGGATATGTATCATCACTGGACCTTCACCCTTCTTTCTTCAAAAAGAAAGAACAAACAGTTGGCAGTAACCAAATGTATCTCCTGCTTTTTCATTTCCCTTAAATTTCAATACTCCCTCTCCCCTAGAAACATTAAATGTATTTTAATAATATGGACCATATTGCCTAAAGGAAGTCCAGTTTTGGAAGTATTTTTGTGGATCGTAATGGTTTGCATCTTATCAGTAAGTCTGATTTAGCCAGTTTACTTTCTCCTGATTCTTAAGGGACTGAATAGCCAGTTCTTCTGGCATCCTTAACCTGTAGAGTGCTCAAGATAACGCACACTTCAGTACTTCATCAGGACTGTGGCCTCATCAGTTAAAGTATTCCCTCGATTGGTGTCAAATACAAACTTGTTCACAACTTTTCACCTGGGAGAGGTGGTATGGCATAGTGGATAGAGCTAACCTTGAAGCCAGGTAGACCTGGGTTTCAGTCCTGCCTCTGACCCATACTGGCTGTGTGGGTCAGACCCGCTGGTCTGGTCACTTAACCCCTCAGTTTTGTAGAAAATTCTTTAAAATGGAGAAGGTGCCTGCATGCACTGTGTGGTAGGGAGTTTTCCTCATCTGGGAATTCCATGTACCAGTTTAATCAGGAGTCCAGTACCTGTGACTGTCAGCAGATTAATGTAGAGTGCATACCTTATAATAACTCAGATGTGGAAAAATTGGTTTTGGAAAGTAGGTAAAAGATCTCTATTCTTTCCATAATTTTGGTGTGCTAGGTAAGAGAACCTTTTGTCTGTATTCACTTAAAACCCATGTGAGAAATGACAATTCTCTGATGTATTTAGAACCTGACTTTTAAAAAAGGGTTACATTAGCTACATCTACGAAGTTCTCCATTGACGTTTCATCGTGGCGTGCAGAAGAACCTAGATTCTTGGGCGCTATGCCAAGTGGAACATCAGCTCTGATAATTTCTCCTACTCTGAAGATTAAATACTATCTCAGCAACAGGTTATGTCTGCTTTCTGAGGACCAGCCTCACTTCATCACTGGTAGGCCATATAATTAATGAATTCTTTCATAGCAGACCATGAAACAAAGAAAAATATAAAGTGGTCCTCACACCTGTGTAGTACCCTCTGTCTCCTTAAGTGAATAGTGAAAAGGGGAGAGGAGAATGCTAAGAATCTTAAAAATGTTAGGCTGTCTGTAAACATCAACTTACTGTTGCTATTTTAAATGCGAACACTTTGTCCAGTTACCAAGGAATGGACATATTGCAGGAATGCAAGTCACACCAATCCTGCAACTTTTGCCGTAAACAAAATAATAAGACAGAACAAAATTGTAGGTAAATCAAAGTATGGATGAACAGGTTCTCCTTAGAGAGGCAAGTAAAGGAGTAAATGGAGATGGTTTTATCATGCTCAAAAAGGCAACAAGAAACATCATTTCGTGGGATGATTTGGTCACCTTGTATTGCAGTGTTCATGTTAAATATTTACAAAAAGATCACCATGAAAATAATTGTGACTTGTGTGACAACTTATGTTGCAGAGCATAAAGATAGAATAATTTCATAAACTTGATTAAGACCATCCAAGTTAAATTAATATACAACTTTGATACTTGGTAACTTTAATACAAAAATGGAAATTGTCAAAAGTTAGCAAAAAAAAACCATTGAAAAATGAGTTTCATTTCAGGAATAAGGAAAGAGAGACTTAGAGTTAGGTTTAGACTATGCCAAAGACTTATTCTTGTGCATGAAGAATATTTGAGAAAGGAATCAGAAGACAATAGACATAGCAAGCATTGCTACACATAACTAAAACTGAAATTGATTATATTTTAAAAGGTAGGAAATGACTTACTGATGTGAGTCATTTTTGAATCAGCTGTCTGTGTGTAGTCAAAGCACCACTTTGTTAGAGCTGAGAGAAATTAATAGAGACATGTAAAAAAGAATAAGAATGATAGAAAGATATGACTTGCAGTTGAAACAACTTCAACCTGATCTATCAAGAGGAGTTTTGTTGCCCAAGATGGCAAATGAATGAAGGAAAAGACAGACACAGATTTCAGCAATTTCAAAAGAACTTTAAATAATGTAAATCAGTTGCCAAATGAAATAAAAAGTTAACCCCCAAATGCATTAGTCAGAAAATACTTGATTTATTTGTCAAAAGAAAGGAAATAGCCAGTGGCAGCACCAGTTTAGAATATAAGCTTGTTGGTAAAATTCTTAAGCAAAAGGATGTTGGAAGATTATGAGTAGTGTTGTTCCATAACAAGGAAAGGTAATGGAGAGGAAAACCAGTTTTAAAAGAGCTTTGTTAGAAACCCAGTTAAACAAAGGCCAATTGAGGGCATTTAAAGATGAAAAAGGAAGAAAGACAACAGACAAAAAATACAAAATAATCTTCAGATATATTCATACCAAACGCTTTTCATCATCAAGGATGGAGGAGCCACTACATTTAGACTCTTAACCAAACAGCTCCTGGATGCACTCTAGAGGAAGTTGACATGGCTTTGAAGAAATCCAAGATAGAAAAAAAAAACACATGTAATAGATTAAGTGTACATAGAAGATCTCCATGCTGAAGGCAAAGCAACTTTTGGGTCATAGAGGGATCAGTTCTCCAAATACTTAATGGAGGGAAAGATAACAAAGAAATAGGAAAAATCTTGAACCTAATACATACTGACAAAGGTAACTACGAATCTATAACTGCTGACCTGTATGTCCACTTTCTCATCTATATTAATATGAGAATATTCTGTACATGCATTGAGGGTATCCTGTATTGATGAGATTATTTGAAGGAAAGACAAGCTCTCATATACAAAATTCTACAGCACATATCTTTGCCATTACATAATTGACTGAAAAATTAAGAAAAGACAAGATCCCATCTGTGCATACTGTTTTATTGACTATAAAATGTTTGCATTTGGTAAAGCAAAACACTTTCTTAAAGATAGCTTTCCAACAAGATGTCTCCTATGCACATGTCAAACTTATACAAAATTCTATGAAAGATAAAATAAAAGAGATATACTTTATTTGACCATAAAATCAGATGAGACGTAAAACAGAGAGCCATATGCTCAAAGGTGTTTGCCAATGTCATGTGGGATTTCCAGAGCAGAATGCACCCAGATCAAGAAGAGATTCTTTATATCCTTTTTGTTTATGATGTTGTGCTGACTTCATTAAGCCCCAGAATGTTGAAGGGCCTCCTAAATAAGATCATTCTAAAGAATTTGGCCTAATTATCTATAAAAAAGAAACCAAATGAATGAAGAATGCCTGTTGTTCAGTTTACTTTAGTTAGACGTTTATTATGTCTATGTTCTGCTAGAAGCTAGGGATAGAAAGACAAAAATGAAATAATGCCTGCTTTCAAAGACTGTACCTAATCCATCAATGGATAAACAGACAGACAGACAGATGGATGCATACATATCTAGTCCTAGGCAACAATGAGTTAAGTTTACAATTGAACATGAAGAGAATGGGCTAGATTCCCTTTGCCCTAAGATTGTTTCTGAAACAAGGAACCAAATTTTTAATACTAGCATTCTTCCATTGGAGATAACTGTATGGCTACAGGTTATGAAACACCATGGCCTCCAGAGGAGAGGTGACTGATGGGCAAAAGAAGCTCGTTACAACTGAGAAAATTATGGAGGAGCAATATAAAAGATGACATCAAAGAAAGGTACATGTGAAAAAGAATATGGAGGCTAGCAAAAGCAATGAAGAGCCAGTGTATAGTACATGCGTTCTTTTAGTATCTTCACAGTGTCAGAAAAATCCCATGAAGGCATTTAGCACCTTTGGTGAACGCTCTTTGGTAAACTTTAAGGAGTTCATAGGCAAGAGTTTTACAGGAGTGGCAGTCATTGGTGGTTTGCAATCTTTATAATTGGAGATGATCCCACATTAATGAAATCAGAGTCATTTCAGTGTTTAGTATTTGCCTTTAGTTTAAGCATTTGAAGCATTCATTCAGTTATAGTTCTGTCTAGTACCAGA